CGAACCCGCCACCCCAGGTGTACGTGGCTGGCGCCCTAGCCGGTTGAGCTACAGGCGCCGAGCCGGAACCATTTCTTAAACTCACTGCTAGTTGATTAGCAGCTCTAAACAGAAGGAAATCACCAGGAAAAGAAAAAAAGGAAACCACCAGCTTATGTAAAACTTGGTGTTGAAGAGTTAGTTACCCCACTGACAGAAGATGCCTTCTGCATTAGTATGTCTATAAAATGTCTGGGCACTAACAGGAAGCCAGAATTTTCTGTTTTGTCTTTATGTGGTATATCTTAGAATGGTACTCCTGGCCCTCCCTGAAAGTTAAGCAGTCATTTCCCAGTATTCTCTTCCTTGCTTTAAAACTAGATGAGAACTTGATTGCTTCCGTATCCTTTTCCTGTCAGCTGGTTTTGATTATTTCAGGCTCTTGCTGATTATTATCATTATTTCAGTTTCTTCATGATCTCTCCAACTGACCAGCAGGTCCACTGCTGGGCCTGGCTTAAGAAACACATGCCGAAGGACAGCAACCTGGTTCTGGAGGACGTTACCTGGAAATACACTGGTGAGGGGCCTCTTGGGGTCAGTCACATGAGAAAAAGACAGCAGATTCAGATGCCCTTTACATGTTTCTTTGTTACATTTGACTTTCAAAGTGAATGTCAGAGTTAGCAGAGAAGAGACTCACTGACCACAGAAAACTCACCTCTAGCACCTCCTCGTTTTTCATAAGTGAGGTGTGAGATCAGCTTTGGCTTCTCTGTTCTGTTCACTTCTATAGCCACTACTGTAAGCATGCAGGAGTTCAAGTATTTATTGAATGAATGAGTAAATAATTCTTTTTTTTTTTTTGGAGGCAGAGTCTAACTATGTTACCCTCGGTAGAGTGCTGTAGCATCAGAGCTCACAGCAAACCTCAAACTCTTGGGCTTAAGCAATTCTTTCGCCTTAGCCTCCCAAGTAGCTGGGACTACAGGCTCCCGCCACAACACTCGGCTATTTGGTGGTGGTTGTTGCAGTTGTCATTGTTTAGATGGCCCAGGCTGGGTTCAATTGAACCTGCCAGCCTGGCTGTGTGTGGCCACTGCCCTACCCACTGAGCTACAGGCACCGCCCAAAAATAAGTAAATAATTCTTTTTTTTTTGGAGACAGAGCCTCAAGCTGTCCCCCTGGGTAGAGTGCTATGGCATCACAGCTCACAGCGACCTCCAATTCCTGGGCTCAAGCGAGTCTCCTGCCTCCGCCTCCCAAGTAGCTGGGACCACAAGTGCCCACCACAACGCCTGACTGTTTTTTGGATGCAGCCATCATTGTTGTTTGGTGGGCCTGGGCTGGATTCGAACCTGCCACCTTAGGTGTATGTGGCTGGCACCTTAGCCACTTGAGCCACTGGTGCTGAGCCTGCAAAGTTCTTTATTTCATCTGACTGGAGTTCATCCAATAGGGGAAAAAAGCCTTTTCCCTAGGAACATTTTCACTAACATTTAGAGATAATTATTTGATTTCATGGCTGCCTGAGATGGTGAATAACAATCAGGGCAAAACCAGCTTTATTTATTTATTTGTTTGTCCATCTATTTATTTATTTGTTTAGAGACAGTCTCATTTTGTCACCCTCGGTAGAGCGCCATGGAGTCATAGCTCATGTAACCTTTCTTTTCTGTTTAGCCCTCAATCTGATTGGCCCTCGCGCTGTGGATGTGCTGTCCGAGTTGTCTTATGCCCCTATGACTCCAGACCACTTCCCAAGTCTCTTTTGCAAGGTGGGTGCCGGTAAAGTTCTGTTTTTCAAATGGGCAGAGAATATTTATTTTATGGTGGTAGCAGTTATACTTTCTTACTATGGCATTAACACCCCTGAAGGGTAGTCTCACCCTTACTAGGCAGACAGATGACCAAATAAATTTATTTTTCACCCTTCAGGCTCTCCATTTTAATAACCATTAGGATAGTCTTGAAATGAATTCAGCTTCTCTAAAAGTCAGGTGTATATATTTATTAGTTTCTGTAGTGATAGATCAAAACTTTAGGTTACAGGATTATGACACTGATACCATGAAGTGCCATTTGAGGTCAGGCCCCCTCTCTCCATGCAGTGGATCCTCTTTTTATACACAGAGCAACTTCTCTTCTATGTATGTGACATATTCAGGGAAGAAATGGTATAGGCGAATGCCTAATCAATTAAATGATTATTTTTCTATAAGTGGCTACTATCAGCAAATGAAACAAACTCTGAGTAAAAACAATGATAAGTGAATCCCCTCTAGGAAGCAGTTTAGAAGCAGATTAGAGGTCCAAACTGACGCTTTGGCAACGTGTAATCAGCATGTTCCAGACAGTTGCTGACAGAAGCTCTCTGAAGTTGAAACAGAGTTCGAATCCACCTATAGATTATTTTACAGTTTTCCTTCTCCGAGGCAGAGAGGGTGAAAACTCAGAGTTTTCGCAACAGAAAACTCTGCCCTGTGAGCTGTCAATAGATGCCTTCATGCATTCTCTCTGCTGCTTGAAGGAACGATCGTCATGCTTGTGTCTGGCAAATGCACCTCACACAGGATTCCTGTGGAAGCAGTTTGCTTCTGTGCTGCCTAGGACTTTCCACTTTTCTTTATAGGAATGACAATTATGTCAGAGGCTTCTGTTAGGAAACTGAGCTGCTGAGCTTTTATATGGCAGGTGACCAGGATTTGTCTGCAGAGTCCCTCAGAAGACACTTGCCTGTTCTTCATTGCTCCTGAGACCTCTGACTAACACAATCTTTAGCAAGAATTTGCAAAGAGAAATATTTTCTGCTTATTAAAGGCATGGCTTCTATTCTCCACCATCAGCTTGGCTAAATCTCCTGAAGTGAGAAGGAGTTATAGAGGCTATACTCCATTCTCACCGCCTCAGTACCTGGAACCAGACTGTTTTCAAGATGAAATTCTTTCATTGACTTATATCTTCTTGAGGGTTAAAAAACAAGTGTGGCGTTAATGAGAGGGTTTCCCTGGACGAGCCTGCGTGAGTGCCCGCACTCCCATGAGAGTCCCCGTGCTGACTTGCTGCCTTTGTCTCTGCAGGAGATGAGTGTGGGCTACGCAAATGGGATCCGGGTGATGAGCATGACTCACACAGGAGAACCGGGGTTCATGCTTTATATCCCCATAGAGGTGAGATTTGGAACGTTCACCTCTGTCTTCCTTTCCCTGAACTGCCAGGAGGCGTGCTGGCTCTGCCAGACCTTATGGGCATGGCGGGTTTGGAGAGCCATATCTGATGATACAGGGCTGAAGTCCACTACATTGAAGAGACTTTACAATTTTTAACTACGTTAATTAATTTCTTTTGAATAGATGATAGACTTAAAAAGTGTTTACTGCCATCTAACCAGTTCTAACCAACTACCACCAATGAGTTAGTATTATTTTATTTATTTATTTATTTATTTTGAGAAAGAGTCTCAGTATGTCACCCTGGGTAGAGTGCTGTGGCATCACAGCTCACCGCAATCTCCAACCTCTGGACTTAGGCAATTCTCTTACCTCAACCTCTCAAGTAGCTGGGACTACAGGCACCAGCCACAATGCCTGGCTCTTTTTTTTTGTTCCAGTTGTCCTTGTTGTTTTGCTGGCCCAGGCTAGGTTCCAACCCGCCAGCCTCAGTGTAAATGATGTTACTTTTTTTTTTTTAGACAGAGTCTTACTATGTCACCCTCAGTAGAGTGCTGGGGCATCACAGCTCACATCAACCTCAAACTCTTGGGCTTATACACTTCTCTTGCCTCTGCCTCCTGAGTAGCTGGGACTACAGGCACCCACCACAACACCAGGCTACTTTTGGTTGCAGTTGTCATTGTTGTTTTAGTAGACCCAGGCCAGGCTCAAACCCGCCAGCCTAGGTGAATGTGGCCGGCACCCTACTCACTGAGCTATGGGTGCCGAGCCTTGATGTGTTTTTTTTTTTTTTTTGAGACAGAGTCTTACTTGGTTACCCTCGGTAGAATGTGGTAGAGTCATAGCTCACAGCAACCTCCAACTCCTAGGCTCAAGCAGTTCTCGTGCCTCAGCCTCCAAAGTAGCTGGGACTATAGGCACCTGCCACAATGTCTGGCTATTTTTGTTTGTTTAGCAGGCCCAGCCTGGGTTCAGACCCACCAGCCCCAGAGCATGTAGCCGGCACCCTAACCACTACACTACAAGTGCCAAGCCTATGTACTTGAATTGAATAGTGTCATCTTTTGTGGCTTCTATGTAAGAGTTTGATTCGTTAGAAAGCACTCCTGCACTCCAAACTTCTAATGAGGCTGTGAGCTGAGTGTGTCACATCGCTCAACCCTTAGGAAGGTCTGGGATTAGGGCCAGAAGAGCCTAAACAGGGCTTTTTGACAGGGTGATGAGTTCCCAGAGAATAAGGCTTTGTATAAAATCAGATTGGGCAGGAGATCCTGTGGACCCCACCATTTCGGGGGGCCCAGTAGTCAATGCCTCCTTTTAGCCATAGCTTAGAACAGACTCAGCCAGCATAGTTCAATGTCTGAGGTAAGATACCCCAAATAGAGGCTTTATAACCCAATTCAGACTACTCTTCTCTCTTTCTCTCAAAAAAAAAAGACTAGGCAAAATGGCTCACACCTGTAATCCTAGCACTCTGGAAAACAGAGTCAGGAGGATCCCCCGAGCTCAGGACTTGAAGACCAGCCTGAGCAAGACCTCATCTCTACTAAAAATAGAAAAAGAAGGCTTGATGCCTGTAGCTCAGCAGCTAGGGCACCAGCCACATACATCGGTGCTGGTGGGTTT